ATGCCCTTGACCGGAATCGAACTTGGGGCCTTTCAGTCCACGGGCCGATGCTCTATCCACTGAGCCAAACCGGTTTTGGCCTGGAGAACACTTCTATGGCCCAGGACATCCCAAACTATGAGAAAATGATCACATGAGACCAAGATGGGCATCACTCAGAAGAGCCTGGAGGACACGAAAAGCAAATCCACGTGAGAGGAACCCAGGCTGAGGAATTCCCACAGTTAGGAGCCCAGAAAGACATGAACTTCAAGGACATCACTGCACAGTGGTCATGAACAAGCACCAGCAGACAACAGGAAACAACTGGATGTGTGAACAGAACTGATTTGAATTATGCTTGTAGCATTTTGCCCAAGATTGCTAAATGTTCTGTAGCCCAAGGGTTTTTCACAGTACCCAATGGCCCAATGCTGCCAAGAAGAGAAGTCATTACATGTGTTTTCAATCACAGTGGTAGGTACTCCCATTTCACTTTAATTTTCCTTACTTCCACCGAAACCGGTTTGGCTCAATGGATAGAGCGTCGGCTTAGGGACTCAAGGGACCCGGGTTCGATTCCGGTCAAGGGCATGTACCTTGGTTGCGGGCATATCCCCAGTGGGGGGTGTGCAGGAGGCGGCTGATTGATGACTCTCCCACATCGATGTTTCTAGCTCTCTATCTCTCTCCCTTCCTCTCTGTATAAAATCAATAAAATATATTAAAAAAATAATAATAATAATTTTCCTTACTTCCTTAATTTTTCTTCACAAAAACATTTTAAATTTACTTTTTCTGTATGCTGAGCTACTTTTTTTTTATTCTTTTATTAAAAAGAAAATTACCATCCCTGGCCAGGTATCTCAGTTTGTTAGAACATTGTCACAATATGCCAAGGTTGTGGGTTCGATCTCTAGTCAGGGCACATACCAGAAGTAATCAATAAATACATAAATAAATGGAAAAACAAATTGATGTCTCTTTCTCTATTTATCTCTTTCCCCCTTCCTCTAAAATCCATAAGTAATGTCTTAAATAAAAGCAAAGAAAATTGTCTTACTAATTTAGAAAAGCATAATATATAAGGTCATCCTAAACAATATTTTATTTTATTAAACAAATAGTTTATTTTATTTTTCTTTTTAATACATTTTATTAATTTTCTAAGGGAGAGGGACAGAGAGCAAGAAACATCTATGAGAGAGAAACATCAATCAGTTACCGCCTGCACACCCTGCCTGGGGATGTGCCCACAACCAAGGCACAACCAGAATCAAACCTGGGACCCTCCAGTTCGAAGGCCAATGCTCCATCCACTGAGCCAAACTGGTTTCAGTCTAAACAATATTTTAAAACCAGTGTAACTGAATGCTCTTTAAAAACAATCTTAATTTACAATGCATAATTGTGTTAATTTTCATAGGAGAGTGGCATAATACATTCTTTTGGGGGCTTATATATCAGACAAGACTAACGCTGGACTCATGTGGCTCAGTGGTTGAGCATGACCCAGGAGCCAGGAGGTCACAGTTACCCTCCCAGTTAAGGCACATGCCTGGGTTTGGGGCTCAATCCCCAGTAGGGATTGTGCAGGAGACAGCTGATCTATGATGTTTCTCTCTCATCATTGATGTTTCTCTCCCTCTCTCCCTCTTTTTTCCCTTTCTCTTTTTTTAATCAATTAAAAAGAAAAAGAAGAAGAAGAAGAATGCAGAGTTAGAATGCAGAGGTAGGGTGTGCAGATGGCGTGATATTGGAGAATTTTTGTTTTCTTCTTTGACCCCAACACCTTTGAGTTCACAGTTTGGGTCCAAGTAATGCTACAGTTATCTAGTAAGTACTATTTTTAAAAGTTTAATTTTTCCTTAGGAGACATCTAGTAGTTTCTATAAAACTATAGGTGATTAATAAAAGAACATGGGCAAATATAAGTTTTTGAGATTCTTAACCTCAAAATAGAAAGCTGAAGTGAGAGGCAAGCAGAGTTTGAGAACAAAGGCTAGAGCACATATACTAAAATAAAAAAATAAATAAAATAAAAACAAAGGCTAGCTAATCAAGAAGCACTGACTGAGGCAGAAACCTAAACTGTGTTCCAATAATGGGACTGAAGGCAGAGGTTTTTATGAGGAAAAGCAGGGAAATCATTACGTGAACAGAAGGAAGGAATTTGTATTGCCGTTAACAAGCTACGTTATTCTTTAGCTCCACGTGGCTGTTTACTAGTTCTACAGAATGTCTTTATTTTTAGTCCTATAGTCAGGGGTGTTTCCTGTTAGCTGTACAACTGTTTGGAAGGCAATGCTGCTCCGGCCCAGGCCAAAGGTTATTTTGCCAAGTTTGAAAGTTCAAGGAGTAAGACATGCAGATGGGACTGGAATTGCTGCCCGGCTCCACTTGTGCCAACTTTTCACAAGGTTTTATCTAAAAATGCGGGGTTAGGACTTGGTAGAGCTGCAGGCAGAGGTGATAGGTACCTGCAGGAAGAGTTTGGACAGAGAATTAACGGTTGGAGGACCAACCCTTGCTGTCAGCAAACTCTAGGCTAGTTTCTTAGCTGATTGGAAACTATGTCTAGTCCCCTCTCCACAATCTTTAAATCACCAGCCCTTTCTAGCCTCTGCGTCTTTGTTTTTTTCGGCAGCACTTTATATTTGCTTCTTTTTCCCCAAAATATATTTTATTGATTTCAAAGACAAAGGGAGAGGGAGAGAGAGAAACATCAATGATGAGAGAGAATCATAGATCGGCTGCCTCCTGCAGGCCCCCCACTGGGGATGGAGCCCGAAACCTGGGCACGTGCCTTTGACCAGAATCAAACCTGGGACCCCTCAGTCCACAGGCCAACACTCTATCCACTGAGCCAAACCAGATAGGACTATGTTGGCTTCTTGCACTTGGCTCTGTTTTCTATTCCTTTTGGCCAAATGCAGTGCAGACTAGTAATGACCTCCCCACCTGATTGCACTAGGTTCCCAGTAGATCCTGTGCCCTCCAGGCTTAGGCATTGGTCATATATGTGGCCATAATTACCTTCACATGCATAGTTATGTTGGTTCTTTGAAAACCATTAAGATGACATCTCCGTACTCACTGGGTCTCTCCTTCCCCAGAGCTCCCCTCAACCATATCTGTCCCCCTCCTCAAATCACTGGCTGGTGATCACACCCCATCTCACTGGGGGAGGTCTTTTCACTTCCTTTGTTCTTGAATCTTAAGACACCAGCCAGATGTCTACTGTTTGCTGATTGAGCCTGCTATTGGGGCTCCGGATCCTGTGAAGGAGGGTGAAGTAGAACCAAATCCAGATCAGGTTCTCCAAGTGGCAGCTGTGGGTAATCACCTTCAATTATATATATATAATTAATTTCAGAGAGAAAGGAAGAGGGAGATAGAAACATCAATGAGATAAATCATTGATTCATTGCCTCCTACACGCCCCCCTTCTGGGGATCCAACCAGGAACTAGAGCATGTATCCTGACTGGGATTTGAACCTTGACCTCTTTCATCTTCACTTTCTTTCTTTCTCTTTTTTTTTTCTTTCTCTTTTTCTTTCTTTCTTTCTTTTTTTTTAATATGTTTTATTGATTTTTTACAGAGAGGAAGGGAGAGGGACAAAGAGTCAGAAACATTGATGAAAGAGAAACATGGATCAGCTGCCTCCTGCACATCCCCTACTGGGGATGTGCCCGCAACCAAGGTACATGCCCTTGACCGGACTCGAACCTGGGACCTTTCAGTCTGCAGGCCGACGCTCTATCCACTGAGCCAAACCGGTTTCGGCTTCACTTTCTTAATCACTTGTAAAAAAGCACACTTCACAAAGACAAGCATGAACTTTCCCCTGGGACAACAAAGTTAATTTAGTTTGAGCAAAGGATAATTATTCTGTTAGCATGTGAGCTTTTGTGTTGTGTTGTTTTTTTTTTTCCTTCTCCCTGTACGGATGTTAGTAGGACAAGGGTCTCAAGGTCTGGGCAGTTGTAAATGTTATTACTAAATGTTATTCTTGCTAAATGTTAAAATGTAATACAGCATTTTGCAGGCCAGCTGTAAACAGGATAAGCTTGACAGGAACCCCAATCGGGATACATTTAGCCAACTGTAAAGAAAAAATTAATGTGCAATTACCAAATATGTATATAAGCAATGGCTAACTTGGATGTAACATTTTATTAAGGACACTGGACATAGGAGTGGGGGAGGGAAGACATGATCAATAGGGAAGGAAGCCGATTATGTCTAACTCTGGGGAAAATTTAATTGAAACCTATAAACATCCAGATTTCTGATCTGCCTGGATCCCATATTAGTGTTGTCACCGGCCAAAAAGCGCGCTCACGGTCCGGCCTGAGGGAGCCCAGTACAAAGGGCAGTAAACAGAGGTGACCACAAAGACTGCGCCGTGGGAGGACGAAGTCTGATCCGGTGCCGCAGGGCGGCCGCGGAGGGAGGCTGGGCGCGGGGTGCGGTTTGCACTTAACGTGCAGAAGGGCTTCAAGTCCACCAAGGCCAGAAAAGCTCCCTCGGACCCGCGATCCGCACACAACGACAGGAGGCGTGCCTGCCAATAAGCACGGTGCGGTCCCTGCGCCCCAGCTGCTGCATCACCCGGGTCCGGGAGAAACACCAGCCGGCGACCCACGGACCCAGTGGAGAACAATCTCCAGGCGTCCGGCGGAGAGCCGGGAGCAGCCGGGGTGCGCGCTCGGGACCACGCCCCCTCCCGGCCCCGCCCCCTGACCTCTCTCGTGATTGGTGCCCAGGGAGCATGTACTCAATGGTGCGCGCGCAGCGGCTGCTTCCCCTCCCGTCCCTGGCTGAGATTGGTGCCCTAAGCTCAAGGGGCGGGCTTTCAGGTGAAGATGCGCGCGCAACGACTGCTTCCCTTCCCGTCCCTGCCTGGGATTGGTGCCCTAGGCTCAAGGGGCGGGCTTTCAGGTGAGGGTGCGCGCGCGGTGTTTGCGTCAGTCCGGATGCGACCGCCTCCGGCCGGCGGGGCTCGGAGTCACCGCGATGGCGGCCTTCGTTCTACTGCGGCAAGGGCGAGCCGGGGCGCTGAAGGTAAAAGGGAGCCGGGCGGTGCGTGGGAGCCCACCCAGGGCCGGGGCGAGGAGCGCGGCCCTAGCGGGAGACGCCGTGGGAGACGCTGACCGGCTTCCCGGCGGAGGGGAGAGCGCCTGGCCCGCGCTGCAGCCGGGGTGGGGGCCAGCGAATGGACCCCCGACACCTGCCGGGCTCCCGGGGAAGCTCCGTGGCGCGGGGCTCCCGGCGGCGTGCGCCTCCGTGCGCTGTCAGGACCGTCCCGGACCGCGTCTGTACTTACTGGACCAGGAGAAGTGAGGAACGTTTGGGTGTCCAGGTGACCCGGTCACTTACCTCGCAGTTACTCAGAAGCCAGCTAACGGTACCTCGCGCGTGGAAAGAAAGAGAGAAAGAAGGGTTTGCTTTCTCCACATGTAAAAACAGGCCACTTCACTCTATTGAAAATGTGAAAGGTTCTTACTGCCGAAGCGGTAACTATTCATTTAAAGTTCAGATGGGAAATCTGTTGTCAAAAGAGTCTGCTATTTACGCCTGGATATATCTAGTGGCAAACGAGCTTTTTCTGCTTTCACATACACACGTGGGTAAAAAGTTATAAACAAAAAATAGTTTATCCTTCAGATGTACACTACAGACACCTCTGTTCTGTGTGGAGCATCTAACACGTAGTAATAATAAATAATACGCTGAGTAAAACAACAGTTTATTAAGTGCTTGCCTCTTATGATATATTGTAAACAATTTTGTAGCAATTATTCATCTAGATCATTTTCCAGTTACTATTTTAAATGTTATGCTAGATTACTTTCTAAGTGTAGGAAAACATTTTACAAAGAGAGCCATAGTATTTTGCAGGTTAATAGATAATTGGAGACTACAAAAAGGGATGCGCAGGAAAAAGGCTGGTTAGAGAAGTACCCAAATGCTAATAGTGCGTGTTCTTGAACTCAAGTGTTTTTCTCCTCTTGCGGCTTTTTTGGTGTTTTATAATCGTTATAAATATGCCATGTGAGTGCAAAGCAAAGCACTTATATGTAGTAATAATGCATAACCTTTATATGTAGTAATAATTGTAAATACTAAAATAGTCTTAAATTTTTTTTTGAATTTTTACATTACAGTTTACTTTCAATATTATTTTGTATTGGTTTCAGGTATACAACCTAGTAGTTAGGCAGTCATATACTTTACAAAGTGTTCCCTGATGTTTTCACCTGGCACCATAAAAGTTATTGCAATATTACTATGTTCCCTGTGCTGTACTTTATATTCCCTTGACTATTTTGTAACTTCCAACTTGTACTTCTCAGTCCCTTAACTTCTTTCACTTAGTCCTCCAATCCCCACTTCCCTCTGGCAATTACCAGTCTTCTCTGTGTCTGAGTCAGTTTTAATTTTGTTTGTTCTTCAGATTCCTGAAATAATCCTTATTAATTCTTTTGTCAGACTCTGCTTCTAGACGGACAAGTGTTTCGAGGTCTCACGTCTACAGCTGCTCTCTCTGCAGAATCAGGAAAGAGTGACAAGGGAGTGCCACCAAATTCCAAGAAGCAAAGTCCACCCAAAAGTAAGATCTTAATGATGGTCATGGAGGGAAAGAATGCAAATAAATCAGTCAGCTTTCCGGGAATAAAAAGGAGTTTTACTGGCTACATAATTTATGATCGTTCGTTTCCAGCGGCATCCAGTTTATAATCAGACTTAAGATCTGTAACAGATTTTAGACCAAACACATCAGAATTGTAACAGTCTTTTACTCAACATTTAGGCCTGATCTGGTTCTGTCTGTATTTACTGAATGATGTAAATACACATCATTTACTGAATGATGTGTAGCAACAGGATGCAGAGTATAAAGGCTCTGGGTAATCAGATGGCCCTAATATAGACCCTGTACTCCTGTGAGGTGGCCATAAACACCACTTTGCTTTTATTTCCCTGATTGTGACTTTTTTTCAGTGTTTTGAGACTTCTCTGTAGTCTGCCAAGCTTTGCTCAACCACAGTCCAGGACTGCAGGCATCAACATTTTGTGACTGTGAAGAGAGTTAAGAGGAGGCACCATTTTTCATTATATGACTGACTTTGATGGAGTATGATGTCTGCTTTGTTTTGAGCTCTTTCTATAGTCATTTTGACCTATGGCACCAGTTTTTACTTTACTTTTCCCTGAATACCTATGTAGCAAATCCTCATTGAAGGAAAAGGGGAAATGTAACAGTATATGTTTTAAATACTTCTGGGAATTTTATATTCTATTCCCCGCATTCATTCATTGTTAATTGATAATAATCCAGATTCATTGCATTTGGTCTTAACTGATGAAACTGTACTAAACTCTTAAAAAAAAAAATATATATATATATATATATATGGTATCTGTAGTCTCTTGGCAAATCTTTTGTTTTTTTTATTATTGGGGTGACATTGGTTAATAAAATTATATAGATTTCGTGTATACAGTTCTATAATACAACATCTGTTACTATGTATTCACCCCAAGTCAAATCTCCTTCCATTTATATCCCCTATACCCTCTTCTACCTCCCCCTCCCCCTTCCCCTCTGGGAATCACCATACTGTTGTCTGTCTGTGAGGTTTTTTGTTTTTGTTGTTTAATCCCTTCACCCAACCCGGAAACCCTCCTCCCCTCTGACAGCTGTCAGCTTATTCTCTATCTATGAGTCTGTTTCTATTTCATTTATTAGTTTTTTTGGCACATATTTAATATGTATGTGGAGTTTAGAATGATAATTTCAGTTTGTCTTATTTTCATGAAAATACCATTTTCTCGGTTTAAAAGTGTTTAGATTCTTTTGTTAGGTCCCTCGTAGGTTTGCACACAAAAACATGAGTAGGTTGTAAGAGATTGGCCCTCTTTTGAAAGTGCCAACCTGCCAACTGCCTTTCACATGTCATTGACCTCAACTAAGAAGACACCTTCCTGGTGGTGTCTTTGGCTCTTGTACACTGGAGGCCTGATTTTAACAGGAACATTATTTAATTCTGCCCTGTATATGCTTCATTTTTAAATCCAGTGTTCTCTGTGTGTTTTTTTAATCCATAAGTTTTAAAATAGTTATTTTAAATAAGAACTTAATTTATCTTTGTGTGGACATAACCATAATACCATTATCACACTTAAAACATGTTTATAAGAATGTCAGTTAAGCCCTAGCAGGCTTGGCTCAGTGGATGGAGTACCAGCCTGCGGACTGAATGTTCCCGGGTTTGATTCTGGCCAAGGGCACATGCCTGTATTAAAGCCTGATCCCCAGTGGGAGCTGTGCAGGAGGCATCCGATCAATGATTGTCTCTCATCATTGATGTTCTATTTCTCTCTCCTCCCTTCCTCTCTGAAATCAATAAAGAAATATATTTAAAAAAAAAAAAAAAAAAGGATGTCAGTTAAATTCTATGGGTGCCAAGCTTGTTTCTAACATTCTTTCATTGTTTACTGATGAATAACTAATTGAATTTCATTACTAACCTTACCCTTGGCCTTGAAGAAATTTTATCTTTTTCTTTCTGGGCTTTTTCCCCCCTGTTTGGACAGTAAGTTTATTACTGTCTTTATCTGAAAGTATGCATAAAAAATTGTGGTTTGATTTATTAGCTCTCAGCAGCCCATTCCTGAGCTCTGAGGAAGCCTGCCTTCTGAGCTACCAAATCTTTTTTCTAGACACTTTGGAATGTCTAGAGACGTTTGGGAATGTCTTCTTTCTTAGGCCTCTTCCCATAGACAGGATTCTCGTATAGCAGCACGAGATTTCTCATACATCTCCTTTGTGTCTGGAACTACATCGTTCTTTATGAACTTAGAGAGTTGTTTTTGGTAAGCATCTTTATCTTCTTCCATTAGGTAGCACATATAACCTGCAGTGTTCTGACCTGTTAAGTACTTCCGCATTGAATCCCTTGCTTTCTGAATCATAACCAGGGAACCATTTAGTACAGTGCGGGATAGACAAGCCTCCATCCACAGCTCCCTTCAGGGCCCCAAAAACTTTATTGCCAGTAGTAGTTTCAACAAGCCCTGCATCCAAATAGCAGGTGAAGGCACCAGATTGACTAGCGATGCTTTCCACATTCTATTCATCTGTAGCCACCTCCACTTGGCCTTCATAGATCTTGCCCATACCAACTCTGTTGAGAAGCCTGCAGGCCAGTATAATATGCTATAGCATAATGTCAGGCCAACCTTCACTCCATATTTTGGGAGCTCATGAGTATAAACTGCACAAACCATTCTGACTCCTTCTATACAGGCATAAGCAATCTGACAATTCATGTCTTTATTACACTGCTATCACCCAGCTTTGGGGTGTGTTCTTATTTTTGTCCTGGACTGCCAAGCATTTATGGGCATAGTAATCAGTTTTTCCCTCTCATCACCGTCTAAATTTCACTTGGTATCTCTTGAATTAGGCCTTATTTTTTAACAGCTTTAACAAACCCTGTTTTGCAGAAGAGAGATCCACATTTGTGGCTCTGAAATTTTATATCTACAATCCTGCTCCATAAACTTAGGAAATTGGGATATGGATTTTAAAGTATGACAGACCCAAACATTCCCTTTTTATTTTTTATTTTTTAAAATATATTTTATTGATTTTCCACAGAGGGGAAGGGAGAGAGATAGAGAGCTAGAAACGTCGATGAGAGAGAAACATCGACCAGTTGCCTCCTGCACACCCTCCACTGGGGATGAGCCCGCAACCAAGGTACATGCCCTTGACCGGAATCAAACCTGGGATCTTCCAGTCCACAGACCGACGCTCTATCCACTGAGCCAAATCGGTTTCGGCCAAACATTCCCTTTTTACAAATAAGCTTCTGAATGTGAGCGGGAAAGAGAGGCTTCTGTGACAGTTGGGGTGCAGTTATGAGAAGGGAACCCTTCGCTGGGATTGGCCTTGGCTTGTAGCTTTTGCCTCTGGATACCGCAGGCCCTGCAGGCCCCTGAGCCTCAGATCCTTCCTGCCTTAGTGGGGCAGCGCATCCCAGAATTTAAAATACAGAGATCCCCATTTGAAGACAAAGAAGAAATGCTTCTGAGTAGATGTGTGCAGGTGTCAGTGTTCCCCAGAGCATCAGTGATTGGTAAGCAGAGGCATAACCGCTTATCGCCCACAGGTGGCACACTGCCAGGCTAACTCCCTGCCAGTGGAGGGTGTGTTTTATTACATTTGTCTTTCAAGGAAAGTCACCGCCAAACTAAAACATTGTCAGCTCTTTCGGCATCCTGCTTCTAGACCAGGTGGGCACACCAGGCCTTGGGAATCATTTGGTCTGGCCCTGCCAAAGCATTAGAGGTGAGCTAATTAAATGTTTGCCCAAATATAGCAGGCTCATTTTTAAGTTGATTGTTTTGTATGGCCCACATGTGATGTTATACATATTCAAATGGCCCTTGGCAGCAAAAAGGTTCTCCACCCATCTGTAGACAAATCAGAGATTTCATGAAAACACAGGTAAAGTCATCCTTACATTCAAAGTGTAGCCATTGTTCCTCTGCGTGACACTGCTGTGTTCCAGGGACATCGTTCTGCACTACTGGATGCAAATTTGGTGTGAGCGCTGGCACTTTGGTCCAGCAGTTACTAGAGGCAGCCATAGACCATGGTGGCAGGCTTCCTTCTGAGTCACAAAGGATGGTGGCTGAGCTGCAGCGGGTCAGAAATGGACTCTCATTAAAAAGCAGAATGCAGTAGCTTAGTCTATTAGCCTTTTCATGGATTCTCCCAACAACTTCTCATGAGAACTTTAAAGCATTCTTACTTCGTATGGTGGAAGTTTCCTTTCCAAACAAAATTTTTTAATTCTGTCATTGTTGATCTCATTTGAAATTTTCTTCCCATTTTTTAGTAGTTGATGAATTAACCTATAATGCAATTTTACAATTTTTAAAACCTCTATAACAAATTTTGGAAAATTTAGGTATAATTTTTCTACTCAAAGACCCTATCTAAGATAAGCCTTATTTTCAATTACTTTTTCTTAAAAAACCCATTCCCTTTTCCACCCAACCCTCCCATTGTAACCCTCAGTTTGTTCTCTGGGAGTTTGTTTTATTTTATTTGTTCATTTGTTTTTACATTCCATAGTATTTGTCTTTCTCTGACTTATTTCACTCAGCATAATACCCTTTAGGTCCATCCATGATGTTGCAAATGGCAAGGATTATTTTTCTTTTTTGAATTGTTGAGTAATATTTAATATATATACCACATCTTTATTTATAATTGATGGACATCTAGATTGCTTCCATATCTTAGCTATTTTGAATAATGCTGCAATATATCATTTCGAATTAATATTTTTATTTTCTTTGGATAAATACTCAGAAGTAGAACTGATGTTTTTATGGCAGCTCTATTTTTAATTTTTTTAGGGACTTCCATGCTGTTTTCCACAGTGGCTGTACCAATCTGCATTCCCAACAGCAGTGCACAAGGGTTCCCTTTTCTCTACATCCTCCCCAGCATCTGTTCTCTCTCCCTCTCTCCTCTCTTTTTCTCCCTCTCTCTCTTTTTATCCTTACCCAAGGATATGCTTTTTTTATTGATTTGAAACAGAAACAGAAACATCAGTCTGTTGCCTCCCATAGGCTTCCCTGACCAGGGATTGAACTCCCAGGGATTGAACTCAAAACCTAGGTATGTGCCCTGACCAGGAATTGAACCCTCAACCTATTTGGTGTACAGGACAATGCTCCAACCAACCCAGCCAGGGCATTTATTCCCTTTTGATAATAGCAGTTCTGACAGGTGTGAGGTAGCATCTCGTGGTTTTGATTTACATTTACCTGGTGATTAGTGATGTTGAGCATCTTTTATATGAATAGTGGCCATCTGTATGTCCTCTTTAGAGTATCTGGTAAGGTCCTCAGCCCATTGTTTGGCGTTCTTTTTTTCCTCGTTTTTGGAAAAGTTTTGCTCAGTGTAGAAGTGGATTAATGACACAGGTGAGAAGATTATTAGGATTAGGAGGCCATCATACCTTGTTCATGGCCATTGGGCATATCTGAACTCTGGCTTAGAGAGACAAGGAGAAAGGGAGAGTTCAAGTGTATATCCCTTCTTTGCCTCATCTTTCTATTTTGCACGATCCCGGTGCTCTGTGCATTCTGAGAGCTCACTGCATCAGCCCTGCTCTGGGCGGTCAGGACGCAGGTTCTGCGCTGGCACCTGGCCACAGAACTAGACGTGGCGTGAAGGAAGCGGTGCTGGAAGTGAAGGTGATGGCTCTAAACAGTCACCCATGCTCCAGTTCCGTCAGATCCTCTACACTGCCCATTAACCTCTGGCCCATTTCTGATTTGTTATTTCTGTTTTCTTTAATTATTTTCTGTCATTCTATTTTATATAAGTCCCTGAGCTCAGAAGACAATTAAAAACCTTTTGGATACTGGTTATATAGAAAAGCTAGGAATACAGTTTTTTCACTTTAGAGACGTAAGATTGATATCTTTTTAGTCTAAAATTGACTTCTAGACTTGAAAATCAAGACTGGATTTAGAGTTTGCTCATTTGTAATATTTCTTAAGTTTTTACTTGAGATTTGAAAAGTAATTTTAATTTATAAAAACATGTCCTATATTTTTCTTTTAATCTGTATACTTACAAAAGATTTACCCCCTGAGAAAACTAAAATTAGCTCTAATCAATGTACTGTGTAATTTCATTTTTCATAATTTACTTGACAAAATGTAAGACTTTTATGTTAGCGCTTACTAGATTTTTTGCAGTAAACCTGTTGCTTTCAATGATATATATGATGTTAAGTTATTTTAGACTTACGTGATCTTTGCTTTCCTTAGCTAAAGAAATCCCCAAGTGGCTTATGATTTTGAAGGACTTCTCTTCCTCTTAGGGAAATTTCATTTGAACTACTTTATACCCTCTCTGTGTATGTATGTGTCTGGTATTGTGTGTGTGTGTGTGTGTGTGTGTGTGTGTGTGTGTGTTTTATTAACCCTCATCAGAGGATATTTTTCTATTGATTTTTAGAGAGTGGAAAGGAAGGAGAGAGACAGAGAGATAAAAACATCAATGGGAGAGAGATGCATAGATTGGTTGCCTTCCGCACATGACTGGAGATCGAGCCTGTAACTGAGGTATGTGCCATTGATTGGAATCAAACCCAGGATCTTTCATTCTGTATGCTGATGCTCTATCCACTGAGCCAATCCGGCTAGAGCATGATGTGTATACCCCAAGCCCAAACCTGGCTTTTGTCTCTACTTTTGTTTTGCTATTTTGTTCAAAAAGTTCAAGTTCATACAATATGGGTAACTTCTTTAATATATGAGAAGCGCCAGTTTTTTTTAGTGTTTTAAGAAATTATACATTTGTAAAACTTCAACAGTCATCTGAAAGTATCTTTATATTATAGTTTAACCATCTTAAATTTGGATGAAATAGTTTAAAAATAATTACCAAAGAAGCTCTCTTGTGAAAAATGGTAACGTTCTGTTTTTAAAAACCCTCATTTTTAAAATTTCCATTTACAAAAAAAAAAAAAACACCTACATTTCTTACTGTTCTTTCATGTGGTTTGGCTTTCACTTCCGAGTGGGTTCCCCTGAAATGTTTCTTGGGATTATTACATTGAAGATGTTATAAATGACAAGTTGGTATATGATGAAATGTCTGTGACATTGATGAATTTAGATTGTTTTACTAATTATTAAAAATAATCCTCTTTATGCCATTTCCTAGATGTAGTGGACCCAAAAGAGAGGGGCAAGCTACTAACCACTCCAACAGCAGCTGAATTGTCTAAAAACTTAACTTCACCCAGTTCCTCCTCATCAGTTGTGAATCAAGGTGGGACGGTAGCTAGCCCTAACCCTGGTGACAACGTGCAATTTACAGATGACAGGGTTGCAAAGTTTTCATCAAGAAAGACTTTGGTAGAGTTTCCTGCAAAAGTTCCATCTTCATTCAGAAAACAGGGCTCCGATTCAGAAGCTCTTCAGAAGAGCAAGAGAGTGATGGACAGTTCATCTTCATCGTCATCTTCATCCAGCTCCTCTGATTCAGAATCTGATGAGGAGAAAGATGGCTCAGCAGTTGGTTCTCAACTGGTGAGCAAAGGCAAAGGAATGGTTTCAAAACCAGAGGCCTCCCCTTCCTTTGAGAATAGAGCCTCCAAAGTTTCAGTATCGGCAAAAGAGAAAACCAGATCACCGCAGCCACTACTGGACCTCCCCTTGCCGGAAAAGCCCCGTCAGGCAATGAAAGGGACCTCCTTTATGCCATTAAAGGACAAGAAAGATGAAGCAAAACCCACAGTACCCAAGTCACAAGGAGGTGAAGAGTTTATGAAGCAAAATGTAAAGGAAGAAAAACTGCAGAAAATAGTTAGCTCGAATAAAATAGATGAAAGCCAAAAGCCGTTTGTAGGTAAAAAGATTCCATCTGACCTTACGAAATCAGGGTTATCTGTACAACCGAGTGGTCGCCCGGTGCCCACTCCATGGACAGAAGAACCCACCGCAGGAAGACGGCTGCAAGCAGCCCCTCCTGAGACCAGAGGAGGAAGCTTAGGAAAACAAGTCCCAGAGCCTGGCGGGGAGGTGCCCTTTTTCCCATCCAAAAAGGAAGGTTTGGGGAAGCAGGCGATGGAAGGACCCTCAAAGGCTGACAAAGAGATGTTGGAAGATCGGGTACCAATGAAAAATTTGAAGCCAGTTCCTGTTCCTAATAAAGACATTCTCCATGCAAAGACAACAGTACTAAAGCTTGAGGCAAAGGGTGAAACCATGGAAGACCCAGCAACCCAAGTGGGAGACCAGCAGGCCGCACAGGGTACACCTTGATTGTTGAGAACTCTCCTTGTCCTTCGGGGGTGGTTAGACTGAAGAGCTAGGATATGAGGCATACTGTAATTAATCAGAGTCAGTAGGAGAAATGTTGCCTATAACTGTCAGATAAGCAGAGGAGTCTATGAATTATGAATAATACACACCTTATAAACAAAATCCCCAAAACGTTTTACAAGGAAAGAGTAGGCCCTCGTCACTCCTGGCTGCTCCTTAGCCAGTATCATTTTGAACACTGGCAGTGTAACGCAGCACCCTTACCTTTGGAGGGTGAGCCAGTGTCCACTGCAGGAACTCGCAGAGCAGCCCACTGAGAAAGGGGAGTCCTGTTTCATGTGAAGGGCAGTAGTTACGCTTGGTCTGATGGACTGCGTGAATCTTTTCACTGGACTCTTCCTTTTCTGCTTAATGAAAATACTGGGCTGCTTTCCTTTTCTATAATCAATTTTATGAAGGGCTTTTTTGATACCTCAGATTTTTAAAGGGAAACTGTTATTATATGTTACCATTTACTTATACATTGAACTTCGTAAAATATAGTGTGCTTTAGGTAGATCATGGCAAAACAGAAAAGGAGGTCTCCAATTTTAGGGTCTGTGTGTCTTGAAGACACCTTTACAATGCATTACTAACAAACCCAGCTCCTTCCTGCCTGCTCTTCATACTTTTTAAAGAGTATTCATTTTTTTCTGATTTATGTTACCTGGTCATTGTTATTGGTTGTGTTATGTTGACAGAATTTCCGTGTTTCCTTCCTTCCTTTTTCTCCGTTTGTCATTAATATGCAAAGTGCCAGCACTTACCAGACTGCTCAGGACCTCAAGAACTGCATTGCCTAACGCTCCTGTTTCAGCCACTGTGTTGTAATGAGGAAAACCGAAACCTTCAGGAAGAAAGCAGAATTTGGGGTTTTCAGATTGTACATCTTTTTATAAAAAAACTTTGCTCCTAATTTTTCATGGATGTGTGAATTTTCCAGTATTCTCTTTGCCCTTTGGAGGCGAGCAATATCGTCCAGGAGCGCAGGGGCTGTGTCTGTGCAATGGGCTGAATGTCACTGAGTCCACCCGCTCCGTGCCTTCCAAGGGGATCGGTTTTTGATAAGTTTTCTACACCCATGTTTGCCTTCACTTTGAAGATGCCCCACACCACATCGAAGATTCTCGACTCGTGGAGATTGGAAAGGTGTCAGCTCTTTCAGACATCGTTTTTGCTTAATACAATTAAAAAAGAAAACCGAAACTTTTGGTATGAATTCAAATAGTGGGAAAATGTATTTAACATTTTTGTGCAGCCCAGAGAGCTCCAGTGAGAATTTAACCCGGACCTTAGCCGACATCCCACGCAAGCTTGATCCTGTAGTCATTCTGTCTTGCATTCCACCTTGCTGGCGAGCGATATTTCTTTTGCTTCAACCTCACACTTCTAATTTTAAGATTACCAAATATCTAGTGTATGGGTTTTAACTTTTTTCCACTTAAGGAAACAAAACTAAGTCATTTTAGTCTATGAATCTAAAAATCTAAAATACATCAACAGCTTTTTTAAAAAACGGTACACATCCCATTTCCAGTACCCCTTAACTGTGTTGTTATTAAAACAGTTGGAGTTTGTTTAATTTTCTTGTGTTCAGAGACTTAAAAGAGAGTCACTGCTTTTGAAAATTTTCTTCTGTAAATGTTTGTTTCTGTTTATTTCTAGTAGATCTTATAGTTTTCCCCTGCATCTTTATATGACCAAAGTCACACCTCCATAATTGTTCTACGTATTTTCAGAGTTCTGACAAGTCCAGGGCCTAAAGTACAAAAAGCAAGATGTTAAGACACATAATAACTATTCCATTTCATAGGCTATATATTTTAGAATAGATTTTCAGCTAATCTCTTGATTTTGGTTTTGAAGATACTGTTGCTCCCATGGGCTTTCCTTTTCTAATTAAACATGTATAGCAGGTAGGGTTCTAACGAAGCTCTTTCCTCATTCGATATGCTCACTGTACGTTTCCCCCACACACAGAGCCTGCACCAGCCGCCGCCCCTGCCGCAGATCCTCCTGAGCCGTTTGACAACACCACCTACAAGAACCTCCAGCATCATGACTACAACGTGTACACCTTCTTAGATGTGAACCTGGACCTCTCAAACCGGAGGTTGCCTCAGCCTTCTTCCGGCCGGGAGTCACCTCGCCACTGAGAGCTCAGTTTAATGATCACCCTTCATTGTCCGCTGCTCTTGCCTGCAAAATAAAGTCTGCTCAAGTCGTAAGGCCTGGCGTGTCATTGGTTTCCCTCCTGTGCCTTCACAGCGAATGGCGATCTAGCAGCAGGACTGCTGATCATTTATCTAGCAGCAGGACTGCTGATCATTTATTTATTCAGAATGTGTTTAGGAATTTTTCTTAAAGCTCTGGCTCACTGAACACATCCATAAAATTAGAGAATGTGAATGCTTTCTAACTGTGTGGTTCTATGTTGAGCCCTCGGCAGTTCAGCGTTAATCTGGGTAACCAACTAACTAGGTGTTGACAAATGGAATGGCAGCTTCTAATTTTATAGACCCAGTTCTTAATAAATTTGGAGTAGGAATTTGCTAATTTTAACTACTGCATTGCAAAAAATATTAAATTATAGCCTTTTATTATCAGAAGAAACAATCCTTTTGTTCACTTGAATTAGGTATTTGATGTAAACTCAGAAGCTTTTAGTGGTGGGATCAGCTAGAGGAAATTTTATAGGGTCCAGAAGCATCTTTGTTCCCAAGTGGCCACAGCCGACACAGCTAAATTAGCTAGCTACGGTGGCTAAGTAACCTCCCATCCTTCAAAATGTTACATGCCTTGGGTGTGTGTCATGCAGTGTCTGCACCAGGCACCCTGTGGGGGCAGAGTAAGACTGCTCTGAGACAGTAACAAATCTCCATAGAAGTGCTGCTGATTCAGAGCTGAGGTAAAAGACAGCATCCAGTCCTTGGGGAACAAACAGCCTGACATGGAAAGTGCACATGCATGACAGTTTCATGATTGGCTTTGTTCTCAGAATTCCTTGTTTATGGGCTTCATTTCATTTCAAATGAATTCTGGTCCTTGGCCTCCAGTCAATTTAGCAAATACTGTGGGTTTGTAACTCATGATTCACATTCCTGTAATCCTACATTTCTTAAAATTAGTCCAAGTAAGAATACCAAAATTAAAAACAGTCTTGAAAATTAGTTCTAAGATTGTCTGCCTCAGATTTTCTTACCACCCAAGAGGCTTAGCAACTCAGCAAGTTTTCTAAGCACATTTTTTATTATAAAAGTACTAAAACCACATTACCAAAGGGAAAATGGAAAGTAGTAAGATTACCTAAAATCCAATATGCTAACCCAGCCATTATTAACATTTTACATGTTTCCCCAGTGGCGGTGGTTTAGTTAGATGTAATAGTGTATAATGTACATACAGTTTTCTTCCGTGCTGGCTTTTTTCATGTAATAGCTTGCTCGTCAAAGTGACCCACAGAACCTCTATAATGTGCTGGGGTCTCAGGATAGTAAGGGAAATTTAATATGAAGCCACAGAGTGTGTTTCCCTATACTATTAATGCCAAAGACTCGAAAGTCTTTATATAAAAACTAGAAGCCCCGCTGAAACTGGTTTGGCTCAGTGGTAGAGCGTCGGTCTGCGGACTGAAAGGTCCCAGGTTCGATTCCGGTCAAGGGCATGTACATTGGTTACGGGCACATCCCTGGTGGGGGGGGTGCAGGAGGCAGCTGGTCGATGTTTCTCTCTCATTGACGTTTCTAGCTCTCTATCCCTCTCTCCTCTTTGTGAAAAATCAATAAAATATATTAAAAAAAAAAAAAAAAACTAGAGACCTGGTTCACGAGATTCATGACACCAGGTAGGGGGGTCCCCTCAGCCTAGCCTGCACCCTCTACAATCTGGGACTCCTAGGGGGATGTCCAACTGCCGGTTTAGGCCTGATCACTGGCAGTCGTCCATCCCTCTCACAATCCAAGATCGCTGGTTTCTAACTACTCACCTGCCTGCCTGCCTGATCACCTCTAACTGCCCCCCCCTTTTGCTGGCCTGATCACCCCCAACTGCATCTGCTTGCTGCCTGATCACGCCTAACTACGCCCCCCCAACTGCCCCCCCCTGCCAACCTGGTTACCCCTTGCCCCCCCCTTGCCAGCCTGGTCACCCCCAACTGCCCCCCAGCCAGCTTGGTTGCCCCTGCAGCCTGCTGTTCAGTCATCCATCTGGTTGTTTTCAGTCATGACTGCCCCTGGATTTTTATATATTAGGATGAGTATGAGTATATTTCAATTTGTGTGAAGTTTTCCCTTGGAATCAGTCCTGTGGGGTTGATTTTCAGTCTCCCTGGAACTTTCATCCCCTCTCCTCTGCCCACAGGAAAGGCTTGAAAAGCAATACCAGGCAGTGCCTGGCGGGTTTGTGTTTTACACCCATTGTCGCTAATGACTCCTTCATGCCCCATCTGGTGGCGGCAGGATGGTTGCCCACTGAGTGCAGTTTGCAATCTGTGTTATTTCCCATGTTCTTGTTTGAGGAGTGCTGCCAGAAACAGCAGTGTGAATATAACTTGCTTTGTGTTTGGCATTGTCTCCTTAAGATGGATTTCCAGAAATAGATCTGATGGATCACATGTGATTCGTGAACATTTGTCTTGCTTTTGTTTCTGTGAGATTTTCAAAACAATATATTTGTAATGGTTTCAGAGAGGAAGGGAGAGGGAGAGAGAAATTGAAACATCAATGATAAGAGAGATTGATTGATCAGCCGCCTCCTGCATGCCCCAGACTGGGGATCAAACCTGCAAACAAGGCTTGTGCCCTGACCAGGAACTGAACCATGACCTCCTTGTTCAACGCTTGATGCTCAACCACTGAGCCACGCTGATGGCTCTGTGAGATTTTTTTCAACCAGTTTAATAGGTTTGAGCTAAATAAGGTAAGGTAATTGTTTTATCTTCTATATTTTTCCTGTCATCTGCTCTCTGGATTCTTTCTGGACATTTGATCTCTCATACTTGTCAAATGCTCTGATGTTTACTGGCAGCTGGATAATAACTGAAAATGGCAGATGGCTGGGACGGGCATAGGGTAAAGGGCTGTCTGATTCTGCCTCCAGGCATGTGCTTTGTATTTTAATAGTTCTGTGCCCTGCCTGTCTCTAGCATTCAGAACCCGGGAAGCGCTCAGCAGCTCTCCACCCAGCACTGTCTGACATGGCCCGTGCTGGCACCAGGAAGCAATCAGAGGCCTGTGGAATGAGCTCACCCACAGCACAGAGCTTACTGCACTCCACAGGATGCTTCAGGAGAGAGAAATGTTACTCAATCGGTCTGTCCTGTGGAAGCAGGGAGTGGCGAACTTTTTTAGGCTTTGCCACATACCTACAGTCAGTGTTGCACAGACTACTTTTTTAACCCTTTAAAAACGTTAAAATCACTGTTAGCTTGTGTGCCTTATTCAGGGAGGAACCAGTTGTGGACACCAGTATTAAAAGGCTCGCCATAGGCCAAAACCAGTTTGGCTCAGTGGATAGAGCGTCGGCCTGCAGACTGAAAGGTCCCAGGTTCGAGTCCAGTCAAGGGCATGTACCTTGGTTGCAGGCACATCCCCAGTAGGGGGTGTGCAAGAGGCAGCTGATCGATATTTCTAACTCTCTATCCCTCTCTCTTCCTCTCTGTAAAAAAAATCAATAAAATATTTAAATAAATAAACAAATAAATAAAGGGCTTGCCATAGATCACTGAGTGGAACAAAAGGGCTGGCCAGAGAGAAGACTCAATAAGGGGTGTGTTCTAGGCGTCCAGCCTCCCTGGTTCTACCTCCTCCCCCTGGTCCTCTGGCCCTTTTCCCTTCTCTTGCCCTTATTCCAGAAGGGATCTGAAACACCCAGCTAAAGCAATGTTTCTTCTGGAGCAATTTTCACTCTTATGGGCCTGTGATCAACGTTGCTGTACGTGTCTCCTTAGTCAGGCCTAGTCTGGGACTGCGGGCTCAGAGATGATAAATAAAGACAGTCTCCCTGGGGAAGGGAAGGAAGCCAGTGAAACGCACCGGGAGGTAAGGTGCCATATCCAATGACAGCAGAGTGATAACGGAAGTGAGTGGAGGTGGGCAATCATCACAGAAGGCTGTGTGGGACATGAACCCACCAGGTGCCGGTGGGATTGGGGAGGGATCCTGCAGGGTCTTCAAGGCATCAGGGTGGGAAATGCAGAGGCCTGGATGCTGAGACATCCGTTGGTTTCAGGAAGCTCAGTCCTTGGGCATTGCCGGAGACCCCGTTGGAGAGGGGACACAGCCGGAATGAGTCACGAGGGCTGAATCATGAGGCTTGGGCTCTGCTCTCTGTGAGTCAGCCCCGGCTGCCGTATCAGAATACCACACTGAGCGGCTTAACCCACCAATGTATCGTCCCACAGTTCTGGAGGCTGGAAAGCCCAAGGTCAAGGTGCTAGCCGACCCAGTTCAGGGTAAGAGTGCTCTCCCTGGCCTGCAGTGGCTGTCTGCTAACACCATCGCATTGGAGGTCAGGGCTCCGACGTATGAATTTGGAGGGACACACACATTCAGTCCATGTCAGACTCATACCTGTAGGAAAAGAGTGCAGTGTAGCTGTCCTGTTTTATGAAAAGCATCAAGCTGGTCATTTGTTTGAAATGCTCTGGAGGGAAGGGGCTGTAGCAGGGGAGATAAAAGAATGGTAAAACAGGAAATGTTGAGACTGAGTGATGGGCAAATGGAAGTTCATGATTCTGTGTGGGAACTTCCATAATAAAAAAATATTTTTAAATCCTAATGGGAATATGGAAAATAAAGTTGGGAAGGAAGGGAACTTGAGACAGAGAGAGGAGACAGATCCCCCTGCAATTCCTCCAGGCAGAGTGACAAAATGTTGCACTCCAGTGTGGCTCCCCAGCTGGTGGCCAGGTAAGTTGGAGGTTTGGATAGACATAGCCAAACTGCCAGCCCAGGAGGTCATTCCCGTTTATGATCTTTCCAACAGTTTATGAATGCATCTGTCCCGTTACACCCTGGCCAACAATAAGCATCATGGTCTCTGATATTTGCTAATCTGATAAGTAACTTTTATTGGCGTGCTGGTGAGCTTATATTTCCTTCAGGTTTACAGGCATAAAAAGTGAGCCGCTTAGATAATAACCATGTGTCTCTGTCTC